GCTGGAGCCAGCCTGCCAGGGATCAGGTCCTGCAGCGAAGTGGGCAGAAGGGTGCCTACTTCGAGGGGTTGAAGGCATGAGTGAACGGTGAAGCTGGGAACCCCCTTAGCACGGCCCTGGCCAGGGAGTCCCTCCCCTCCCCAGGCCACTGTGCTCCTGGGACCTGAGTGACCATCTCCCCACAAGGCTCTATGAGTGTCTGGACCAGGGGAGGGCTTCAGGAGGGCTCTGGCCCCTCTGCGCCCCCCGGCTGCCCAAGAAGCACCCCGTCCATCCGGGATGGGGTCCAGCCCAGCTGTGAGGGGCAGGCTGGCAGGCTTCTTTGCACTGAGGGGCGCTCGCTGCCCCTCACATCCCTGACAAGTGAGCAGACCCACAGATCCACAGCGCCGGGCCGTGGTTCAGGCCAGCGAGGAGCCTGACGGCTGTGCCCCCTCCTGGCCCCAGCCAGCCCTGGCAGAGGTTCGGAGGCTCCTTGCCCAGCCCATGTGACCAGCAAGGCCCTCGAGCCTCTGGAACCTGGGTCTGGAGGTTCTGAGGCTGCACAGGGCAACCCGGGAGCCGGCCGCCCTGCTGGGCCCCGCTTGGCTGTGGTGGGACCGTGAACCGTGGCAGGTGCACAGGCAGGCAGGATGGGCAAGCCGGAGGTAGGGATGGGAGACACTTACTCCTGAGCTCCTGGGGCAGGAGAGAGTGAGGGCAGGTAGGCAGAGGCGGCAGAGTCTCTGGGAAGGAGTGCGGGGTAGGGGTCGCAGGGCCTGCTCTGGGTGTGCTCCAAGGGGGCCTGGGTCCTCTGCTCCCGTGTGAGGCAGCCTGGGAAGCCTCAGAGCCTTGGCTGGCCCCCAGGATTTCTGCCTGGACAAGGAGGGTGACCTGGAAGTGGGAGCTGGGCTGCGCTGCCTCCCTATCACCGTGCTCCTGCTCTCTGTGGCACTCAGACTCTGTGCTCCTGTCTGCAGGCGGGCAGGGCTTGGGCAGCGGGTGGTGCCGCCGCCCCCAGAGAGGCCAGTCCTGCCAGGCCCTGGCCACTCAGGGAAGCAGAGGGGCCAGCCTCGGTCTCCCCACTGGCCCAGAAGCATCCCTATCCCAGAGGCCCCCTTTTGGGCTGATCCCTCATGGGCCGGGACCACTCTGTTGCCAGGTGTCCCCGTTGGCATGGTGGGCTATGATCATGCAGGTGTATGAGCCGGATGGGGTGGGGATGGTGCTCTGGCTGGTGATACTGGGCCAGGACGCCCGTGTCCTGAAGTCCTGGCCTCTGGGGTCACCTGCCCTTGGCCTTCTGTGCCAGCCCAGGTGGCTCCCAGGACACCACTAGCCTCGGGGACTGGGGAGCTGAGAAGGCAGGTGGCTCAGTGCCCAGGCAGCCTTGGAAGCACTGGGTGGCTCAGCCCCAGAACCGGCTACTGTGGCTCCTCGGGCCCGGCCCACCCCTTCTGATAGGGAACTGGACCTTCCTGCCAGCCGGGCACCCCTGGACACGGCTGCACGTCTGATTCTCTCATGTTTGTCATTGGCTGTGAGGTCCTCCAGCTTTTGGTCAGTAGCTACTCACCTGCCCCAGCCCTGCCTGTCTTGGGCCATCCTGGGGCCCAGACCCTCCCCACACTGTCTACAGGTCCCCGGGCCTCTGAGTAGGGCCCTCATCATGTGCTCTGGTTGTGGGCAGTGAAGTGAGCTCTGTCTTTGTGTCTCTCTAAACAGGTCTTCACACAATGAACTAGAAAAGCACAGGTAAGTGATCTCCTGTTCCCCATGCTCTACCACGTGAGCCGCCTGATACATCCCACCCACCCTTCTGCTGCGGGGATGCTGTGGCCAGCCCCCACCCCCTCTCCCTGCCTCTGTGTCCTGGCTATGGCTCAGCATGCTGCCGGGCTGTGCCATCATCTTGGGAAGGGGCCTTCTTGACGGAAGAGGCTAGGCTCTGCTCTCAGGCATTCCCATGCTAGCAGGCAGGTGTGTGGGGGACCAGCCCCTGCTCTTGGAAGCTCAGCCTGGGGTCCGGAGCCAGGTGGGGGTCAGTGACTTGGGGCAGGGCCCTTTGTGCTGTGTGTCATTCAGGGCCGGCTCCCTGGAAGAGGAGCTCCATCTGTTTTGGGGTGTCTGAGCCCTTTTGGGAGCAGGTCCTTAGCCCTTAGGATGCTGGCCTGCCACCAGGAAGGTTCAGCCCTCTTGGACTGGGACCCCTTGTGCCCTGGGGCCTGCTTTCCAAAGAAGTTCCCAGTAGAGTCTTGTCCACAGGCAGTGGGATGGGCAGCCAGTGCCTGGCCACGTGGGCCTGGTGGGAAGCTCTGGCCCAGGGCAGGATCCAGGGGAGTCCACTTCATGCCCACCCATCGGCCCCAGGGATGGGTCCATTTCTGGTCCTCCTCTGAGGAGTTGCGGGGCTTGCAGTGAGAAGGAGGAGGGGCAGCATGGCTGCCCGAAGAGCCTCTGCCCCCCAGCCCTAGTCCGCCCAGGGCGCTGTGCTCTTGACTGCCATCCTCTCTCCCTGGCTGGCTCAGCCTGCTGCTCTAGCTCCGGGCCTCCCTCTGCAGTGGGGACGAGGTGCGGTGGACAGGTGTCCTCGTGGCCGATCGCAGCCAGGCTGTGTGTGTGTGCAGGAGCCCTGAAGCCAGGCCCAGGGGTGACTCCCAGAGAGATGCTCACGGTGGCTTTCTCCTGACCTTTGCTCCCATCTCCGGAATGGGCCAGTTCTTTCCTCCTTTCTTGGCTTGGGATGGGGTGGGGAATGGGGGTCTGCACACAAGATGAGCTCTCCCAGGCTGCCCTGGAGCTCGGCCAGCCCTGTGTCCCCCACCCCCACGTCTGCACCCACGGCAGCGCCAGCTTCTCCCCTGGGATCAGGGCCTCTGCTGGGCGGGCGCTGAGTGGGGACAGAATGCTCTGTTCTCTGGAGGAGCTGCACTTCCTGGACTGTTCCTGTGCGTTTGGGGGATTCCTGAGAGAGCATGGAGGTGGGGCAGGTGCAGGGGCCTCTGTTCCTGGCTGGCCCATAAGCAGGTGTGGTCCGCCCTGAGGAGCCCGCAGACCTGGGGCTTGGGACCCTGTTGGGGCCCTCGGTCACGGCTGTACCTGTGGGTGCCTGATGCTGACGCCGGACGCTCCTGGTCGCTGGCCACAGGAAGGGCCATGTGCCGTCCCAAGGAAGGAAGGAAGCACCTGGCTGGGTCACCCGGCCGGCCCCAGGGAGGTTGGCCCTGGATGTCGCCTTCCCTGGGAGGCATGCCACGTTGGGCCTGCGGGACTTCCCCTTGCCGGTGCTCGGAGCCCACTGGGAGCCAGTGGCCCACCCTAGGCCCACCCTAGTCTGCCCTGTTCCTCCTCCCCTCCCTCCCCTTCTGCTCAGGCAGCAGCTCCAGCTGGTCGGCTCAGGCCGGTGCTTGGCTCCTGACCCCGGGGACTGGGGTTTGCGACGGCCATGTGTTCCCACCCAGGCTCAGCTCCAGGCTTTAGCTTTTGTAGGGGGGAGGGGGCCCTCAGCATCCCCCTGGTGGGGCGGGACCCATCACAAAGGCCAGCCCAGGGCCCTCAGTGGAGCTACCCACTTCTCCCCAGCATGGAGATGGTTATTCGGGTCCTGGGTGGATCCTTCCGAGGAGGCCTCCTGTGCAGCTGCCCCGTCTGCCTGATGCAGCCACGCGAGACCTCACAACAGCTAGGAAATACAGGGGGACAGGGACGACCGGGCTACCTCGCTCCCCGTCCCACCCCCTGAGGAACCACGGGTGGGTGTCCTTGTTGCCTCTTCCCCGCAGCCAGGCTTGGGGAGGTTCAGAGCGTGGCTTTACCTGGCGGCTGGGGGACCTGGGTCCTCTTCTGAGGGGCAGGGGGCTCTCGGTGAGAAGCTGGGTAGGCCTGCGTCAGGGCTGGGCTGTGGCCAGACGCATGGGCAGGAGCTGCCGTTCACAGCGATGCAGGTCTGCACAGGGTGCCTTCAGGAAGTGGCGGGTTTTCAAAGCTCCCAGGAATGCTGGGCGCAGCCGAGGGGCACTGGCGCAGGGCTTGGGCACTGTAGTTGCCTCAGAGGAGGGCCGAGCGGGAGCCCAGTGTAGCCCGGGTCCTTGGCACCCCCTCCAGCTCCAGGGGGATGGTGGCGATGCCCACTCCCCACAGGGGTGGGACCCTGGGGCTCAGATGGGTGGGGGCCTGCCCGGGGCCCCACCGGAGCTGGTTCCCAGCCCTGCAGCCCCGCTGGACGCTCTCCGGGAGTTGGCTTGGCATGTGGTCCAGTGTTGAACATAGCACGGCTGCAGCCGGCGACCTCTCTTTGTCTCTTGAGAAGCCTCTGCTTTATGATTTCTAACGCGGCTTGTTCATGGACGTGCGAGGACCCCGCTGTGCCCCACCCCAGAGACAGCATCCTAGGCAGCGGGGGTTGGGGGGGGGGCGGGGGGCAAGCCTGCATTCTCCTTCTCCATGCGGGTACTGAGGGATAAGAACAGAACTTCGTTACCTGCTATTTCCTAACTTGACCTTTCCCTGGACACCCTGCGGGCCCCGTCCACCCGTGTCCGTGCATTCTCCTCGTCCCCTAGGCCGGGTGCCCGCACAGGACATGCAGCTGTACCGCAGGGTTCTGAGTGATGGCTCTCCAGTAAACACAGACGGTGCTGCAGTCTGCTGGGTCTGGTGCTGGGGGGTAGATTTGTGGGGCCGAAATCCTAGACCTAGAAATGCCGGTTGAGGGCTTGAGTCGCCTTGGTGGCCCTTCAGAACTTACATCCCACCGGGGAAGTCGGAACTGCCTGCTGGCCAGCTCGACAGCTAGTCGCACCTTTTCATTTCAGCCCAAATTACCATCTCCTCGGTAAGCTTTCCTTTTCTAGATCGCTGCCAGATGGAGTTGGTTTTGTGTTAGGTTAGCTGTTTGTGTTCTGCCACTTGCCTGTCTGTGTCCTTTGCCTGTTTTCACATTAAGATACTCCTCTTTTTAATTTTGGTGTGTATGAACTCAAAATGGCATGAATACTAACCGTTTGTCTTTTACGTGTATTGCAGATGGTTTTTTTGCTGTTGTTTGTCTTTTACATGTGTTTTTTCTTTCATGTACAAATATGTCCTTTTCTGATTGTAAAAGTATTATGTGGGTTTTTTAGCGTAAAAAGTCTGGAAAATACGGAAAACGCACAAAAGCCAAAGAAATAAACGTTGCCGACCGCGCCACGTGGAGACGCGTGCTTCCTGCTCTTCGTGTCCCGTGGAGTCTCTTGTGTGCGTCTGTTGCTTTATTTTTTGACCCTATCTTGGGTCAGTTGTCACATAGGTGGTTTTGTATTCTGATATTTTCACTTCTGTTCGTGATGTGAAAACGTGGAATATACTGAAATGATGATATGCTTGCCTCTGGGTGGTAGAATTTGGGGGGTACTTTTCATTTATTTTTTTCTTTTGATTTGCATCTTCCAATTTTCCACAAAGGTCACGTACTGTGTATGTACTCAAATGGTAGATTGTAAGAATTGCCACTCATAGATGAGTGGACAAGGGACCCCCGCTTGTGAACTTGGTGCAGGTGGTGGGTCGGGGGTCTCTGATTGTGAGCTCTGCTTGAGCACATAGCGCCATTCGCTGGGAGGGCTTTGCGCCTCCCGCCCCACAGTCCCAGCACCTTGGAGGTGGGGAGGCTGAGGCTGCCGGACCCTGGGGGCCACGCGGCAGTGAGCCCCCTGGTGTGCCCCCTTCCGCAGCCCTGTGTGAGCGTGGGGCAGGGCTCCTCTCTGAAGATCCTCCAGCCTTGAGGTGGACCCTGGGGCCCGCTCGGAACGCAGATCCCTGGTGTTCAGGCTTCAGGCCCCTGCTCTGCCTGGCCTGGTGGCCGAGTGCAGCCTCAGTCTCGTGTTCGAGAAGTTCTTTCTAAGGTCAAACTCGGGTTCACCAGGAAAACTCTAGGCCCCGGGTGCCAGGGGCTGGGGTGCCGGGGAGGAGGAGCTTCATCAGCAGGGGGGTGCCGTGTGGACGTGGGTGGCAGATGTAGCGCCCTCCTCCCGTCGGGTGGGGCTGTTATCGCTGCTCTGCAGATGGGCTGCTGCCCTGCACTGAGCTGCCCGCTCCTTCCCTACGCTTCGGGGGGCCCCCTCTGTCCTAGGGACATGGCCATTGCCGCCCGATTTCCTTCCAGAGTCTAAGGGAGACTGGATTTGCCAGGGCTTTGGAACATGGGGGTTGACAGGGGGGCCGCCAGGGTTGGCGCCCTCGCAGGGAGGAGCATGCCGACACTGGAGGTGGGGCGCAGCGGATCGTCAGAGCCTCGCGGGGGAAGCCTGCCGTGCGCCCTCGCGGTCCTCTTCTGAGAGCTTCGCCTAAGCAGGGCAGCTTTGTTTGGAAACCACCTGGGCAGCCTGCAGGGGCTCCGGGGGGTCACGTGCCATCAGCGTGCTTTGGGGGTGAACCTTGGCCGCCCTGTGCCCCGTGGCCTCTGCAGACCAGGTGGGCCAGGGAAGAAAGGCACATCTCGGTCGCAGCTCCTCGGCCCGTGTGTGAGCAAATGCTGCCGTCTTACGGCGCCAGTTCCATGGAAAACTGCTTTCATCTGCGAGGACGCGGGGGCAAAGTCTAGGGCGAAGCACCTTCCAAAGGGGTCCCAGGTCGAGTGGGCGGGGTCTGTCCTCGGCCTTCCCTGACTTGGGCGGACTCATGTTTCTGTGGTGACGACAGTGAGCAGGGAGCACCCTGCACTTGGCGAGGTGGGGGACGGAAGGCTTGTCCGGGGCGTCCCTGATCTCCGCCTGGGAGAGCGTGACCAGCGCTCTGTGCCTCTCCCCCTCAGAGTTTCCCCCCACCACCTTCCGGACCCCACTGGAGAGGGTGGGGAACAACAGGGTGAGCTGGGGCTCCGGGAGCCTGGCTGTAGCACTCGGAGGCTCTGGGGGCCATGATGGGCTGGCTGGCCACACGGGCCCAGCCACAGGCCCCGCCCTTTTACTGGGGCCTCTGGAGGGCCGTGGGTGCCAGGCTGCTCCAGGGGGCTGGAGGCGCTGCCCTCCGGGCTGTGCCGCCCCCGCCTGACCGTTCCGTCTCTGGTTCTTTCAGACGAGCCAAACTCCGGCTCTACCTGGAGCAGCTCAAGCAGCTGGTGCCCCTGGGCCCTGACAGCACCCGCCACACCACGTTGAGCCTCCTGAAGCGTGCCAAGATGCACATCAAGGTGAGCAGGGCCGCGCCCTGGGGAGTGGCCAGAGGGCCTGAGGGTGGGGCGGGGAGCCCCCATCCAGGCCGGTCCCCATGCGCCCCCGTCCAGAGTGGCCAGAGGGCCTGAGGGTGGGGTGGGGAGCCCCCGGCCAGGCCGGTCCCCGTGCGCCCTGGGGAGTGGCAGAGGGCCTGAGGGTGGGGTGGGGAGCCCGCCCTGCAGGTGCACAGCGGGCCAGGGTGGGGGGCACTCTGGTGGGTGAGGGGCACGGCAGTGGGAGCCGCTGAGGGTCGAGGTAGCGGCAGGCGCAGGCTGGGTTTTGTGGGGTGGGGGTGGGAGGCGGGGGTGGGCTGCACGTCGCCCCCCCGGGCCCTGGGGGGTGAAGGAAGGCTGGGGCTCCTTCCATGCCGATGCCACCGTTGGAGGCTGGTGGGAAGCAGACGGCCCTGGCGAGTGGGGAGTTTATGGGGCGGGGGGTAGGGGTTGCTCTCCAGGGGCTGGCGGTGGGGTGTCGACTGAGTGAGACGCTGCCTGGGGCTGGCCCCCTAAGTCTTAAGACTGAGACCTACTGGCTTGGGGGTCTAGGGACACTTGGGCCAACCAGGGAAGGTCTCAGTCCTCCCGCCGGGCCCCTCCCGAGCCTGAGCAGGTGTGGGCTCCCCCAGGCAGGGCGGCAGGAGCACTGAGGGGGCACAGCCGGTGCCCTGGGCCCCTCACGGAGAGGCCGCGGCTCAGTGCCTGGGAAGGTGTGGAGCAGTTGGGCCGGCAGGGTGGCCGGATTGAGCAGGGAAGAGCCCCTGTGGGCAGGGCTGTTGTCTGGGACGGGTGCCAGGCCATGGCTGGGCAGCGCTGTCCCGGGGCTTCAGGCCCACACGTGACTCGGTTTGGCCAAGCTGGCTGGTGGCTGTAGGCCTTCTGGAGCTGGTCAGCAGACGCAGAGCACGGGGCTGGGAGGCGGCACCTACATAAACTCGCGGTGGGCGCGAGGAGGGGGTGCATCAGGCCTTTGGGGCCCAGGCCGAGTGGGGGATGGGGACCTGCCCTGGCCCTTGTGCCCTGGCACGTCCCGGTGGCCGGGGGTGCCCCGTCCCGGGCTTACAGCTCCCGTGCCCCCAGAAACTGGAGGAGCAGGACCGCCGGGCGCTGAGCATCAAGGAGCAGCTGCAGCGGGAGCACCGCTTCCTGAAGCGGCGCCTGGAGCAGCTGTCGGTGCAGAGCCTGGAGCGCGTGCGCACGGACAGCACAGGCTCCGCCGTCTCCACCGATGACTCGGAGCAAGGTGGGGACGTGGGGGCCACCTGCAGGGGCTTTGGGCATGGGCGTCGTGCAGCCCTGGGTGGGAAGCTGGGAGGATGGGGCCAGCCTGGTGGAGGCCTGGGGGAGGATGGGTCGAAAGTCCCCAGCATGTCAGAGGCACGTCAGGGCCCCTGTGTGAGGTGGCAGAGGGGACCGGATGAGGAAGGTGAGGCGTGGAGGCCAGGTGACCTGCCCACGTGAGGGCCAGAGCTAGGCTCGGGCCCGGCAGCGTGCCTTGGGAGGCCTGGCTGGCACTGGCACGGCGTCTGACCGCACCCCGTCTGTTCTCTGCAGAAGTGGATGTAGAGGGCGTGGGGTTCGGCACCGGCGAGCTGGACAGTGTTGGCAGCGGCAGTGACGTGGACGACCACTACAGCCTGCGTGGCGGCTGCAGCCACGGCAGCTACGGGCCGCCCTGCAGGCGGCCTGGCCGCCCCGGCCTCTCGTAGGCCCTGCCCTCTGCTCCTCGGC